GGTGTGGGTGTGGGTGTAGATGTTTTTCTTCCTTGCAACCACACCCAAACCCAAACCTTCACCCAAACCCAAACCCACACCCACACCCACACCCACACCCACACCCACACCCACACCCACACCCACACTCATATCCACACCGACACTCACACCCACACCCACACCACACCCATACCTACACCTTCAGAATCAAGTTTTGTGATAAGATCTATTAATATATTTTGTACTAAAATGAATATTGACATTTCTAGGAAAATTCAAAAAAAAAACAAACTTCTAACGGCTGATAGTTACTCTCAATATTTGATAAAAATTATTGAGATTATTTTCTATTTAGAGAAAAAATATCTTAGACTTTAATTTTTCTTCCAATACGTTGAGTTAATTAAGCAGACAGATACAATTTGATGTTATTAGCAATTTTGATTGATTCACCTTGTATTTAATGACTATTATTGTTATCTTTAGCATTTCAATAGCTAATAAGCAGAAAATTGTCTTCTTTATTTAAGAGAGATATTAAATACGAGCATTGCACGAATATATTCCTCTGAATTTTAGTATATATAAATATTTCTATTTAGCTACAACAACAACTACAACACCGACTCCAAGTAATGTATCGATTTCTTTCTAAATCAGAAATTTTTCGTTGGATAAATGCATGACGTTGCCTTAGAAAATTTTGTTTGAGGAATAAAAAACCTTTTGACTTATATTGAATTAGAAAGAGTTCACACTAATTATGAAAAATAGTTTTCTGTCCGTGATTGTGATCTTTCTAAGATTCAGTGATACACGTCTTTTCTAAGCTGAGTATAATAAATATTTGCTGTTAGAATGGACAATCACTGATAATATGAATTATACCCGATCTTATCACACAACATCCATATTAACAAATGGAAAAGTGTTAGTTACTGGTGGAGATAATGGTCTCATTTTAAATAGTGCTGAAGTATATGATCCATCAACAGGAATATGGACAATCACTGGTAATATGAACTATACTCGATATTATCACACAGCATCCGTATTAATAAATGGAAAAGTGTTAGTTATTGGTGGATATAATATTGTCTTTTTAAATAGTGCTGAGATATATCATCCATCAACAGGAATGTGGACATTCACTGGTAATATGAATTATGTTCGATATGCACACACAGAATCGATATTAACAAATGGAACCGTGTTAATTACTGGTGGATATAATGGTGCCTTTTTAAATAGTGCTGAGTTGTATGATCCATTAACAGGAGTATGGGCAATCACTGGTAATATGAATTATGCTCGAGATATACACACAGCAACCATATTAAGAAATGGAAAAGTATTAATTACTCGTGGATATGGATGTGGGTGTGGACGTGGATGTAAGTGCGGGTGGTGTGGGTCTGTGGGTGTGGGTGTGATTCCTATCTCCGTTCCTACGCACACCCACATCCAGCCCGAAACTCCTTTAGGTTCGTATGGGAACATAATGAAACGCATGATATTGTCGTTTAAACGTATTGAAACGTACCTCGGTTGCGTTACAAAATCTCTCTAATGACAGCACTTATAAAATGCAAGTGAATGTTTCTAATTGACGTTGTTTTTCATCAAATAGTCAAGCGTAGGAAGAGAATTTTTTTCGTACAAATTCTTTGAAATGATGGAGAATATTATTGTCTGTCTCCTACTGTTTTCAAGCTTCATGATGTTAGATCCAGTGAAGAAATTAGGGTCTTCGTCGATAGACTAAAGCAACGATGACCGGCACGATCACGATTGTGACTGTTTGCTTGAATCGTTTTATCCAAGGTTCCATAACCTCCCTTTTCTTCTGATTTTTCCATTCAACTAGTGCTTGAGCATCGTTAAGATGAGGAAATTTTTCATCTGGAATTTCTTTGTTCAAAAACTTGCAGAGTGGGGCCCAACCATCTTGCACCTTGAACTCCAAAATTCTCTCCGATCCAATTGCTGTTCTGATTTTGTTTAAATAAAATGGCATGACCTGTTTACCTGCATCAGGATAGTTATAAACTTGTTGCCACCAGGCTCGTCGAGCCTTTTCGAGCTGAAACTGTGCATGAGTCTTCTTTAAAAACGAAATAATGATACGCTCCAAAGTGGAAACATTAAATTGGTTTATAAGATGTTGATAGGAAGTTAACCATTTTTCAGGGTCTCGATAGAGTAAAATTACCTGAGCAGAGAAAAGTGTGAGCAAGAAAATAGTGTAGAAAAATTACCTTCGCTTCAGGATAAGCTCGAGCAATTTCAACCGCAAAATCGCAACATGGAGCATCGGTGATTGCAGTATACTCTGGAAGTCGTTCATCGAACAGGCGTCGCCAATCATCACTCGTCCATGTCTTCTCAAAATGTTTTTCATAGATTTCGCTCCAGAGTGCCACCAGAAGAGAATCCTCTATGCATATTCTCATATGCATTGTCTTCTTATAACCCAATCGCACAAGAGCCTCGCGCATCGAGAATGTGCCTGAACGTGGTAAACCCGCGACGATAACCTCTATCGGCATGTGGAATGAATTCAAACGAAAACCACAATTGGAGAACCAAGTAAATATTGTCTCACAGTTCAAAATCGAAAATGACTGTCGATGCTTTAAAACGTTTATAGTTGAATTGATGCACAATGAATATTACACAAGATAAAATAGTCTAAGAAGAATGAAAACAATGTTGACAAAGTATGAAGAGTACGTTACTTTATTTCCCTATTATGAAACTATTTTAATCTATTATATTCGGTTCAGGATAGGAAAATCTAGTTATAAGAGTGAAATGAAGCACTGATCATCAAGAGTAATGAATCAAAATGGTAATTGAATATAATTCGTTCTCAATTTCATCACTTATAATAGCGATGCGGCAAAAACTATGAAAAAACACAATGAATAGAATAAAACAAAATGAAAAATGAAAACTGAAAATGTTCTTTTCTCGGATGTACAGACAGACTTTTGTAAGATTTCTTGCGAAATTTCAAAAGCTTTTCTCACGAAAAACTTGATATTTGTTAAAGCATTCTACAACAAAAGAAACTTTGCATTTTTTATACGTAACTCTTTTAAGTTTGGTTCGAATTAATGTGGAAAGCTACATTAGATACGACGTAAACTGTTATTTCCATCGAACTTTGGACAGTGGTATTGAAAAGCAAAGCTTTGAGCGAAATCTCTGCGAGTTTAAGATGGGAAATATGACGTAGCAGCTGCAATAGGGAGGTACGTTCATGAAAAGTCATCAGTAAGACAAAAAGATCCTTTTAATTATCTCAGTCATTCAGGACTGTCCGTCTTAAGCAATGTAGGACGAATCGAAATACTAGGAATCACGTATTTCTCTTAAAAAAACATATTTGTCAGTAAATTTGTTATTTCTCAGTCAAATATGGTTGCATCAAAACTCTAATAAAAGATTCGAGTAGCTCACGGCAATTCAATCAACAATGGAACAGTTGTCATTGGTCGATGAAAAGTGAATTGTATCTGTGTAAACATTGTATACGCTCAAGTTTTGCCTGCAAAATACACGAAACATCTTAAATTAAAGAGCAATGCATTCTTTTGCGGAATTTCAGACAAATTATTTAAAAAAAGAAAAGCAAAAATTTCCAGCAATCAAATGCGAAAGTAGTGACGGTACAACAAAGATGTTCTGTAATTTAAACGGCACAGTATCCTTTCAAACAATGCAAAAATGCATACAAATAGTGGACAAAATCGGCAGTATCGATCTAACTAAATCTCCCGGCTGACCACATACTGTCCGTGTGAAGACGAATATTCAAAAGATAAAACTCAACGTAAAGTGAAAAATCTGTATGTTAACCACAAAACTGGGCAAACAATGGAGCCTATCAAATGCAAGTGTTTACCGTATATTGTGTGAAGATCTGGGATGTCCTCCATATACAAAGATCCAAGAACCTGCCATCATCAGCCTCCAGAAAAAAATTGCTTGTTTTCGGACAAAAAAATATTCGACTTAGACGAGATGTGCAATACCTAAAACGATTGGTTATGGGCTATCGATCGCAAGAAAGTCGATAAACAGGATGGCGCAGAGAAGAAACTTTTCTAACGGTAAGATACATAAAACTTCAGGAAATACTCATTTCCATAGTGTTATAACGACCAAAAAGATAAAATTCCACATAGTGAACTCCATACATTAACATGGCGTGTATAAATAATTTAGAACAAGACTACAAAGCATGATTTTCCTTGTTTGTCATTTGTAACAATCACTTTTTTGGCGAGTTGTGCTGAGACTTCCTCTCAATGGACTACAAATATCGTTCTACATATTGGTGATAATCGCAGTTTAAATGGTTGAGTACTTGGAAAGATAACACGGTTTTATAATATTCCTTAGGTGTATAGATGGTTTCGAGTGCTACAAAATATTTACTGTATATATCATCTTAATTTATCATTGAGGTCAATTCTTGTATATTCATATACTCTGTGAAATGATCTACGGATGTAGGTCGTACACAAGTCATTATCTTTTCATTTAAACTGCAATATCACATGTAACTTACGCTAATTTTCTTTTGAGTTTCTGTGCAGACGTAGAGGAAATTCTTTCTGGAGATGCTATTGAACTAGCAGTCAGCAGGTGCAAGTTGAATAATAGTGTATACATGACCAAAGGTGCATCTAGGGTTCGAACATTAGAGAGGAAGGGTAAAAAAAAATTTACATTGGAGATTCGGCTCTTTTGGTCACCTGACGATAACATAAATACGAGGAGATAAGCGGAAACTTTAGGTACAAACAGGCATTTTTCGTCGTCTGCAAGCAATACACCACGAAAATTTTCCAATCCTATAGGGTACTTCTCGTCATTCGTGTGCCTATATACTACCGCAACGAATAGATGCTCTTCTTTATTGTTTGTAACCTTGCTATCTAATCTCAATTAACTTGCGTTGGTATTAATTGTCTTCTTTGTTGGAAAGTACGCACAAGTCGAAAATATGAGAGAGCAGATTCGATATTTTTTCAGCTAGTTCCAATTGTTGTCCCGAATGGGCGCTATATAGGCAATCCACAGCCTTAGCTGATTGAGTCATTTGAGTTCCGAATTAGGTCATCTCTTTTTCGCTTTAAAAAACTCTTTCAAAAATCTTTAGTGAGTTCTTTCAGCGCTTTTAATTCATAAATGAATAAAAATGTTTACCTTTGTTGCACAGCGAAAATTTTTCACCTTAATGAAGAGTAAAATATAGAAGACAATGCTAAGATAAAGACTATATAAAGTGTCTATATCTTTGATATTGTGAATACTATAATAAACAACAGCCTCATGGCCGACATACGAAGGAAGATAAGAAAATGTAAGCGTTACTTCTGATAATGTCAAGTGAAACACAAGGTTGCGATAAATAATGCTACTTGGCAAGCGTAGTCACTAGTACCTGCGATCATATGATGCGACATGCAAAGTAAAATCAATCGATACCTACTAACTAGGTGGAGGTACTCTACAAGGATGAGTGTGTGTTAGGCCTTCGAATGGTCTAGGCTATCAGTAACAAAGTCGACTCAGCCCATCCATGGTTTTCGGAGTGGGCGTAGCTCTGGATGTGGATGTGAGTGCAGGTGTGGATGTGGTTCTAGAGATCTTCATATACCCACATCTACATCCAATTTTCATATCTTACAGAAGACTCAAGTACCCTTCATTTGATAGATGACGCTTCCATCGACTTCCTCGTGATCAAAATATGAGTCTTTAAATTTTACAAGGACCCTCATTCAACTCACGACCAACTCCTATAATAATGGAACATTGAATTAAGATATTTATATCATTCAAATATGGTCTTTATTAGGGACATTTTATTGTTGTTTATTCCCTTTTCTGAAAGAAAGGGTCTTACATTTAAAAAATGTACGTATGTTTTCTGTCTTAGCCAATCAAAACAAGCTTTTTTATTCACCGGGTTGTCGACCGTTCTGATGAAACTTTACTATGATCTTTTGGGGGCGAGTAGTCCGAAAACGAGTTTGGATTTTTGATCCGAACTCTCGTTGGTCGCGAGACGCTGTAATCAGAAATGAGGTTGTCTATCCATCGGGTTTTCGACCACTTTGATGAAATTAGACCATAGGTTTGTGGGGTGAGGAGTCTGAAATTACGGTTGGTGACATCAGTAGTGTGGCTTTATGCGTGCGTCTGGGTGTGGTAGAGTGGTCGGGTGTGTCGATGTTGTCCTGGTTGGGTATGTGGGTATGGTTGCATGTGGTTTGTATGTGTAGCTGTTGGATTTTGCTTTGGATGCGAATGTGAGAGAAGATGAGGTCTGAGTCGGAATTGATTTGTTTGTGCGTCAATGCAGGAGTGTGAGTATGGGATGATGCGGCTGAATGTGGCTGTGTTTATGTGTGAGTGTGATCGTGATGGTTGTGTGGGGCGTTGGATTGGTAGGGCTTCGGGTCTAGATGTGTGGAGTGTTGTTGAATGTGGATGAGTAGGGGTAGGTCGGGATGGATGCGACTGGATTTATCGTTGTTCGCACACAAGCACGATCACAGCCTGACAGGAGTAGGTCTTCCTCTCCCGGAAAGCCAAAGATGCAAATCCACGCTCACACGGATGTATAAACGCCGATCGCAACTACACCCGTACTCTACGCTCTTTGGAATGGTTTTTAATAAAATGAATGCGAGTTTCTGGAAACTTTCAGTCATTTGTAGCTATAAAGTTAATTGAATTGACATACGATCTCGTTTTGGATCGGTGAAATGTTTAAAGCATTCAAAAAAGAGAAGCGGAGAGTAACCTAAACTAATAATGACTGAAATAATACACTAGCTTGTTGAAAAGTTACTGTGGAAAGTATAATCTATTCCGCGACAAAATTTGGAAGAAAATTGTATATACATCTATGGGCAAAAGCCTTTCTCCTATAGCGTATTGTTTGCTTCATCTTGATTGAATAGCCAATTCAGTAATCCCTTTTTAGTAGGAGATCTAATGTCGTTGTATTTAATTGTAGCTATTATCGGGTATTTTATTGTGAAGTTTGCATCAGAGAACGACAAGATACATTCCAGCTAGAACTACAATGCATAGGAGAAACAGCGTCTGCTTAGTTTTAAAGTTAGCGTGGAGGAAATAAGTATTTAGGAAGAAGCAGATTTTATATAATAAATTAATTGCTACTTAATTTTGTTTAATAATTCTTAAAGCCGAATGTTCCTCTTAACGAATATGATTATAGTTCATATGAAAAATATAAGAAAGTAAAATAGTATGATATGCCATAAACTGAGAGACAAAACTTGTTTATCTGGTTTCTAAATGAGGTAATTGAGTAGCTATAGTTGAAAATTTTGTGGATATAAATTTACTTTTTGATGATTATGGTTTATGCATAGATACAACATGTAGTTTTGAGTTTGTAATTGATACTGGTGAGCATTAAATTTAGTTATCTTATGAAAACAGTTTTGAGATTCCGACGACGTTAGCTTGAGCGTATGTGAGTGTGGATGTGAATTTAAAGAAGATGCACATACACACAGACACGCACTCTGCATCCGCACTCACATACGCATACACTCTGTGATGGTTGTCAGGTCCCTAGATAGAATTGCCAGGGAACCTCGATATGATCCCGCAAACTCATTTTATGCAGAAATCCGGGCAGGAACTAGAACAACGTCTTGATAGATTCACAAATCAAAATTGACAAGATCTTTGAAATTTATGATCGTCAAAAGACCCTGCTAGGTTATCTGAGAAAATAAATACTTCTGAATTGTCTAAATATTCACGTAAAAATATCTTTGCTAAGTCCTCGTATTTTCTTATCAAGATCGATATTAGGATTGACGCTGTCTTGCAAAGTTTGTAAAAAGATATGTTTGAAAAACTCTGAAGAAGATGCTGATTGAAATTTTTGGGATTAGCCGGTTTCATAGTCTGACTAATGTTGTTATTTTCTTGTTAGAATTATCGTTCGATGTAACTAGTACTCTCGCTAGGATCCTGATATCTAGATCTTGACGAGGACTTCATACAACCTTGGCAGAATCCTTCTTCATAATCCTGAGAGAGTACTGTACTCAGCTCAGAAAAATATCTGAGCAGAAAGTCACAG